TATCATATATTAATTGGCCATAAATGTTTGTGTTAATATCTGGAGTCTCTGTTCTGTTCCACAGGTCTGTAGGTCTGTTTCTGTGCCAGTGCCAAATTGTCTTGATTACTGTGGCTTTGTAGTAGGGAAGGTGGGAAACGAGATTCCCCCTGCTTTATTCTTCCTTCTCAGAATTGTTTTGGTATTCAGGGTTTTTCGTGGTTCCATATGAATTTTAGAACTATTTGTTACAGTTTGTTGAATAATGCTGTTGGCATTTTGATAGGGATTGCATTGAATCTGTAGATTGCTTTAGGCATCATGGCCATTTTGACAATATTAATTCTTCTTAGCCAAGAGCATGGGATGAGTTTCCATTTGTTATTGTCCTCTTTAATTTCTCTTAAGAGTGTCTGGTAGTTTTCAGGGTGTATGTCTTTCACTTCCTTGGTTAGGTTTATTCCTAGGTTTTTTATTCTTTTTGATGCAATTGTGAATGGAATTGTTTTCCTGATTTCTCTTTCTGCTAGTTCATCGTTAGTGTATAGGAATGCAAGATTTCTATATATTAATTTTGTATCCTGCAGCTTTGCTGAATTCAGATATTAGTTCTAATAGTTTTGGAATGGAGTCTCTAGGGTTTTTTATGTAGAATATCACGCCATCTGCAAATAGTGACAGTTTGACTTCTTCTTTACCAATCTGGATCCCTTGTATATGTGTTTGTTTTGTCTGATTGCCGTGGCTACGACCTCCGGTACTATGTTGAATAACAGTGGTGAGAGTGGGCATCCCTGTCTTGTTCTCGATCTTAGAGGAAAAGGTTTCAGCTTCTCGCTGTTAAGTATGATGTTGGCTGTGGGTTTGTCATATATGGCCTTTGTTATGTTGAGGTACTTGTCCTCTATTCCCATTTTGTTGAGAGTTTTTATTGTGAATGGATATTAAATTTTGTCAAATGCTTTTTCAGCATCTCTGGAGATGATGATGTGGTTTTTGTCCTTCTTTTTGTTGATGTGGTGGATGATGTTAATGCATTTTTTAATGTTGTACCATCTTTGCATCCCTGAGATGAATCCCACTTGATCATGGTGTATGATCCTCTTGATGTATTTTTTAATTCGGTTTGCTTATATTTTGTTGGGTATTCTTGCATCTATGTTTATCAGAGGTATTGGTCTGTAATTTTCTTTTTTTTGTGGGGTCTTTGCCTGGTTTTGGTATTAGAGTGATGCTGGCTTCATAGAATGAGTTTGGAAGTTTTCCCTTCTATTCTATTTTTTGGAGAATTTCAAATGTCTTCTTATTATGGTTTTGTGTTCACACTGATTTTCCTTGTTTGTTAATAGTAAGGGATTTTTTCAACCTTTATAATTTTATCATACTTGATAGGTTAGCATTTAATTGAGGAAGTAATTAAATTTGAGGCATTTCTACAATAAACACAATTATGGAATAATAAATAAAATTTGCCTTTTTAAACTGAGAAAACTTAAAAGAAATTTCACATTCAGGTGGGTACCTTCTTCCTCAGGAATTGGGTTGAGCATGACAGGTACCTACAGCCATTAAATATTAGCTTGATTACCCAGTGAGTGAACACTCCAGTGGTGACTCCATAAGGCTATTAATTTTCTTTCTGATTCTGTTTAACCTAAAAATTAGGCGCAAAAGTAGGAGGGTTATAATAAGGTATATTTTTGCAAAATAAGCCCTTGGCAATTTGAGGAGGCTTACTCTGAATTAAAGTAATTTGGGTGGTGCACGTGAGAAATTTAACTGAAAGCCTAGCGTTTTACTCAAGAGAATTAGGGTGAGCATCAGTCTCTCCACTGTTTTTGGGGCCTAAGCTCTTTATATCCTCATTTCCTCAATTCCTTCTCCAGGCCAAAACCATGCAAAGTTCCAGTGGTTTCCCGCTCCCATTAGCCATTCGAAATGTTATCACACCCTCAGTTTCTTTTCCTTAAATAGGAAACAGTTGTTGCCTATTCCAGCGTGAATGGGAATGCCTTTGGAAAGTAAGGGAGTATAATGGAAATTGTAGTAGAAAAACATTCCAGAGAACTGGATTCTTAAAAGCTAGTTTCACTGAGCATCCTTAATCATGAGGAAAATGTAAACTGAAACCACAGTGAGATACTACTTCATACCTACCAGGACAGCTATGATAAAACAGACGGATAATAACAAGTGTTGGTGAAGATTTGGAGAAAATGCTGGTTGGATATAAAATGGTGCAGCCACTTCAAAAAACAGTCTGGCAGTTCTTCAACTGTTAAGAGTTACCATATGGTCCAACAGTTCCACTCCTAGGTATATACCAAGAGATATACATGCAAACATATATTCACACATAAACTTGTAAAACTGTTCAAGTAATATTATTTACAATAGGCAAAACATGGAAATAATCCAGACTTTCATCAACTGATGGATAGAGCAACAAAACATGACATATCTATGCAATGGAATGTTATTTGGCAATAAAAAGGAATGAGTTCTGATACATGCTACAATATAGATATACCTTGAAAATATGCTGAGTGAAAGAATCTAGTCACAAAAGGTGTTTGTGGTTGTATGATTCCTTTTATATGAAATGTCTAGAATATTCAAGTCTATAGAGGTAGAGTGTAGGTTAGTGTTTGTTTAGGGAAAATGAGGAGTGACTGTTCATGGGGTTTCTTTTAGTGGATATGTTCCAAAATTAGATTGTGATTTTTAGATATACTAGAAAACATGGAATTGTGTACTTTAAGTGTCTGACTTACATGGTATGTGAAGCATATCTTAGTAAAAGATGTTCAAAAAAAATTAAAGCTAACCTAAAATTACTGGTGAGAGACCAGGTAGAGGAGCACTGGCCGTGACTTGACAGTGAGTGAGGCTAGTGAGTGGATACATGACGGGTTTGAGACTATTTAAATTCTACTTCTGTGTATGTTTGGAAATTTCGGTATTAAAAAGTCAAAAACAAATTAACCTAATACTTATTAGTGAAATACTAGAAACATTCACACTAAGAAAATCAGAAAGAAGGTACTATCACCAGTATTAATATTTTTTCTAACTTATTAGAAAAATACTATTTGATAGGAAACAACTCAGAAACAATTGCTTTTTTCTTCCCCATAACTTCTGACAAGCTTCTCTGTGGCCAGTTGACTTCCTCCCCAAGGATGAGGGTTTTTTTTCCCTCTCAATCAGCATATCTGAAGTCAGGTTGTATCTTAATATAGTTTTTTTATTTTTTAGTGGCTGTGATGGAATGAGTCATAAATACATATTTGGTCATTCATGTAACCAAATATTTCCCAGGTATACTTGATCTTATCCACAGTTCCTGAAAACATTGCAGAGTCTTAAAGGTGAAATGGGTGCCTTGTCATATTAATGAGATACTTTTGGACCCCACCCGAGGGCAGGGGCTGGAGGTTGAATCAGCCAGTGGCCCATAATTTAGTCAATCATGGCTATGCAGTGAAGCCCTCTCATGAACCCCAGAAGAGCTCACTGCTCTCTCCCCGGGTGGATCCTGCTTCTCTGTGAGCTTCAACGCTTGGGGAACCAGAATGCTCCCGTGTGCCACCAAGCCCACGCCCCAAGCTCCACGAGGATAGAAGCTCCTTTATTTGGGACCTTGCCCTATTGTAGCTCTTCACCTGGCTGTTAACGTGTATCCTTTACAGTACCCTTTCTTAAATTGGTAAAATTAAGTGTTTTCCAGAGTTCTGTGAGCCGCTCCAGCAAATTAATTGAACCTAAGGGGGAGGTCATGGGAACTTTCAATCTGTAGCTGGTAGGTCAAAAGCATAGGCTTTTGCCTGGGGCTTGCAACTGGTGTCTGGAGTTGCGGGTGGAGGGCAATCTTGTAGAACGGTGCCCCTAATCCAGGGAATCTGGTGCTGTCTCCAGGCAGATGGCATCAGAATTGAGCTGAGTTCTCAGACACCCCTACTGGTGTTCAAGAATTGCTTGGTGTTATCTGTGGGAAGACCCCCCCCCCACACACATGTACTTAGATTAGAATTGGGTCTGGGAACTGAACCTGAAGTTATATTACTATTACTGCTGTGTGTAATCCTGTTATGGTTATATATATATGTAGGAAGAGACAACATAGCAGTGGCATATAAAATAATGGTGCATTTTATGTTCCATGAAATGCTATTCTTGTATGCCTCATACAGCTAGGTAGCCAGCCTTAGAGGGAAAAGTTAAGTAGGAATCTGAAATCATAAATTATACTAAAATAAAATCATAATCTGTAATCTTATACCACAGTCTTTTACCAAATAATCTTATACCAAAATAAAATAATTGACTGAAGATTTAAGTGTAGCAAATTAAAGCATTGAAAAAGAGAAATTTATATAAATATGCATAGGTAAAAAACATCTTACCCAAAAGTTATAAAAGTTGACAGGCTGATTGTTTTGCATGTCATAAATATGTAAGCAGAGTTAATTATTTTTCTTTTTTTTTTTACAAAACAGCTAGAGGTTTTGTAAAGTTTGTGTGGCTGGGGCTGGGTAGGGGTGAGGTTGGTGGTAGAAGTTGATTGAGTGTCTTGGAGTTGGAGAGAGAAGAAGACTTAAGAAGTCTTTAGACCTTCTTGATCAGGATGCACTGTGTTCCTAGCCGAAGGACAGCATCTGGGTGAATGTGGCTTGGGCGTGAGGTTGCAGAGGAGGGATCCACTCAGGGCAGGTCATAGCAGCGCTCGCTGTCTTGAGTTCAGATCATCTTTAGTAAAGTGGGGCAAAGTGGGGCCTGAATCCCTTGGCTGAGGCAGGAACCTGGATTGCTTGGGTGAAGGAGAGTCAATCTGAGTCTGTTTTTCTTTGGATGTAGTAGCCAGAATACAACTCGCTGCAGCTAAAACCTGCAGTTTCTGGGGTTGAAGGAGTAGGTTTTATTTCCTTCTTCCACTAGCCAGAGTTACCAGGCCCAGGGAGGTGAAGGTAGTGCACCTGGTCAGTCAGAGTTGTAAAGCCAGTGTGACTTCCAGAGCATTCCCATGCTTCCTCCTTCCTGTCTTCTCAGAACACTATCCTTTTTCAGGAAAACAGCCCCAAAGAGGACTGATCCTCTCCTGCAATACTGACAGCCATGGCCCAGGTGAGTTGATGCTTTTTCTGACCTTCCTGACATTCAGTTCTTAAAAAACAAATAACAAACAAAAATTTAAAAGGACATGTGAGCATTTGCTCTCCTTCTCCTGATATTCCTGGTTTATCAGGGTTCCCCTTAAGGATCCTGGTCACCATTTCCTCTCATTCTCATCAGATAATCCCATCCCATTCCCAAGTACCCCTCTTTTGGCCCACATTAATATTTTCCTTCAGTAAAGAACTGAGCCTCTCTTTTTTCAGCCCTCTCCCAGGAACTGTGATGGAGAGGACATGTGCTCTCGGGCAGATCTGTAGAATGAACTTGTGTTGTCTAGATAGTGATTTGGTGAAGTGGAGGTATGAGTTGCTTAGCTGGGAACACACATGGAAAAGCCAGGATTATCTCCACAGATCAGTAATCACCAGTAAGAGAGGATGGGAGGTGGTGTTGGTAGCTCCAAGTGTTAGACTGTTGCAAGGTCAGCTGGTTTACGAGGCTTGGAGGATTGTGGAATTGGCAGCTGATTGAGACAGATCTAGACAGATCACTGTGACTCCATTAGGGCATCTGCACGTGAAGTCCTGTCTGAGGTAGAGCAGGAAATGTGGGGCATAAGTTATTTCTGTGTGAATCACCAGTTTTCTTTATCTCAGAAATAAGGATAAGGATGATGGATGCTTACAGTGAGTTCAGCCAATTCATGAATTGTTGAGATCATGCTATCTGCTCTTGGAAGAACCTTCTAAGTATTGTCTGGTAATACCTATAATGTAGAAAATTCTGATATCAGGAAAACTATTATTGAAGAACTTGTATTAATAGGAAATCATTCTTGTAACAGAGTGAACTAGAGTTTATGAGAAACTTCAGCTATATGCTGTTTCAGAGATACTGCTGTTTTAAAATGTTTGTCAAATTGTAAATTGTCCAAGTTCAGGTAGTACTACAAGGGCCCTGAGCCACCACCTCATGCTACTCCCTGAAAGAAGACACCCTTGTCTCTTTTAGCTAAGTCAATGGAATTTATCATATTTTAAATTAAAATTCCTATTTAGTGATTGATTAAGTCATTTTTAGACATTTTCTAGTTATTTCTTTATAAGATATGTATGAATTAGGTTTTCTGTACCACAATTTTGTTTAAATAAGTGCTATACACATGATTGAGACCTTGTAAATATTCTGTTGCAGCTATTCACTACTATCCCTCTTTTAAAAAACTTTGTCATAACAAATTTCAGATATAGGAAAGTCTTGTAGTATTAGGAACTACCATATACTTACCATTTAACTTCAATAATTATCAGCTCAGTCTTGTTTTAGGTACTAATACCTGTATCTTGTGTGCACACCCCCCTATCCTCACTCCCCAAAACAGCATTATTTTGAAGCAAATGCAAATTGGTATGCATCTCTAAAAGAAAGATAAAGATTACTTTTTAAAAACAACCATTACATCATTGTTGCATCTAAAAACAGTTAAAAATAGTTTGTAAATGTCATCAATTAAATTTTCATAATTGTCTGGTTTTTAAAAAGTCATTTATTTGAATTAGAATCGAAATAAGAACTATGCACTGCAATTGGTTGAGATGTCACTAAGTCTCTTTACTTTGCAGATGCCCCTTCCATATCTTTTTGTTGCAGGTTTTTTGGTAGAAAAGGAAAAAACTGGTTTACCGTCCATTGTTTGAAATTCACTGGTTGCACCTCTATCATTTAAGTGTTGCCTGAAAATAGATAGTTAAGTCCATAGGCTTGATGAAATTCAGTTGGGATTTTTTCATGTAAAATGAACTGAATACTCTTGCATCTATTTTGAGATACATAGGTAGTGGTTCTCATTAACACCAATATGATAGCTCATTTATTTTACCCTGTAATACAAACACAATAGTCTCTAAGTATTTCTTTTGTTACACCAGTAACACACGTTTACTGTTTCAGGGATCAGTGGTGTTCAGTGATGTGTCCGTAGACTTCTCTCAGGAGGAGTGGGAGGGCCTGGACCCTGCTCACAGGGACTTGTACAGGGATGTGATGCTGGAGAACTACAGCAACCTGGTGTCCGTGGGTAAGGGCATCTGTGCCGATAATTTAGAGTTCTTTGGAGTATCTTTTTCTTTCATTGGGAATTTCTCAGGTGAATTTCTGCTCCCTATCCCCATATAAATGGTTTGAACTGAAATGAAGAGAAGAAAATGGTCTGCTCCAACTGGCTGTGGCAGAAGCTTCATCTTCTTTCTTTGGCTGTTCCTGTAGTGGTGTCCCTTTTGTGGTCATCAAGGACTGGGTCTTATTTCTGGATCTGATTTACCCAACAGCATAACCATGTTCCATATTCTCTCCTTGTGAGCAGGACTTAACATTCCTAAGCCTGAAGTTATCTCCTTATTGTTGTTACAAGGGAAAGAGCCCTGGGTCGTTGGCAGAGAGCTGACTAGAGGACTGTGTTCAGGTGAGTGAGAAATAATAGGACAGAAGCAAGCAAAGCATTACAGATAATAACTCTGCTGGTCAGTGGAGAAACAGCACCTTTGAGATATAATAATGGAAGCTCCCAATAAAACCCAAGGCCATTGGGAAAAACTAAGTCCTTTACATGAGTTTAGAAATGACCATTTTCATTCATTCTGTCACTTACCACTCTTCTTTTAATTTCTCTTAATTTCAAATATAGAGTGCCCTCTAAAGACAACTTTCCTCCAAAGAAAACTCCTTTACCTGTATTTAGGATTCAATTCCTTTTTAGCTTTTCTCCCTCTTAGACTCATTGAAATGTTTTCTATTATCACCGCAAAATAATATACTTGGTGTGTGTTTGTGTGTGTGCACAGGCATGCATCTGTGTATCTGCACTGCCTCCCCTTTAAGTACTGATCTTCTTTATACCTACCTACCAGTGACTTTTTTTTGTCAGTTTGTCATGCATTTTTCCTTTGTCCAACATTTTTTATATCCTGATTTGTGCAGAGAGGCTTAGTTAGCCAGGTGCTGCAGTTTGATAATTATGTCATCTACCAAGAAGTCAGAGTCAAAAAGTGGTGCTAAAATATATCCATAAATGACTTCCACAAAGTAGAATCTAGTAGAAGAGAGAATCAGACAGGGAGCTTCACAGGGGCTAAATATGCAGAAGTGGTATCGGTCCATACTGAAATAGTAGTTGGAGCCTTGCAAGGGATTGCAGTCACCATCTGCAGAGACAATGTTGGGAAAAACAGAAAGGTCTTTCCCTCTGTAGGAAAGGGAGAGGTGGCAGAGGAGAGATTTGGGATAAAGCAGGGGAGCCAGAGGAGCACTATACTAAGCATTGGTCCAAGTGCCAGAATTATAGTATTGAAGAGAACATTTAAAACTCTGTTCTTCTGGAGTTTATATTCTAGAGAGTGTGATAGAGAAAAGAGTGGTTATAATATATATAATGTCAGGTGGTGGTATTATGAAGGGAAGTTCTAGAAGGCTTCTTTGTTGAGGTGATATTTTAGTCAAGACCTGAAGAAAGGGAGGGAAAAAGTAAAGATTTAGGCAAAAGGAACAGGAAGAACAAAGTCCCTGAGTTAGAAGCTTCTTGGCTCCTGCCATTGTGGCCGGAGCAGAATGAGCAAAGAGGGAACTATGTGGAAGGAGATCAGCAAAGTAGCAGGATGTAAGTGTGTTGGCGAGGTGGAGGTGGGAGGGATGGTGGACTGCAGATGACCTACGGTCTTGTGGGCCTTGGTATGGACTTTGAATTCTATTCTGAATGAGATGATTTGAGCAAAGGATTGACATCATGTTTAAAGGATTCCTGTAACTCGGAGGTTGCTAATTTGGGGTTCCTTTGAATAGAATTTTGGGAGTATGAATTTGGATGAGAAGAAAAAATACATTTTTATATATAGTTACCTCTAACTGAAATTTAGCATTTCTTCCTACTATGGTATATGCAAAAACCATAGTAATATTAGTAGTTCCTGTGATTTTGACATGAATAGAAATAAATCATGGATATTTTCTTTTTTTTTTAAGGTATCATTCATGTATACTGTTACGAAGGTTTCACATGAAAAACATTGTGATTACTATCTTCACCCATATTATCACATCCCCAACACACACCCCATTGCAGTCACTGTCCATCAACGTAGTAAGGTGCCACAGAGTCACTACTTGTCTTCTCTGTGCTACACTGACCTCGTGACCACCCCAACACCATGTGCGCCAATTATAATGCTCCTCAGTTCCCTTCCTCCATTCCCACCTGCCCTCCCCCACCCCTCTGCTTTGGTAACTGTTAGTCCCTTCTTGGAGTCTGTAAGTCTGCTGTTTTGTTTCTTCAGTTTTGCTTCGTTGTTATACTCCACAAATGAGTGAAATAATTTGGTATTTGTCTTTCTCCACCTGGCTTATTCACTGAGCATAATGCCCTCTAGCTCCATCCATGTTGTTGCAAAGAGAAGGATTTGTTTTCTTATGGCTGAGTAATATTCCATTGTGTATCTGTACCACATCTTCTTTATCCATTCATCTACTGATGACCAGTTACGTTGCTTCCATATCTTGGCTATTGTAAATAGTGCTGCAATAAACATAGGGGTGCATATGTCTTTTTGAATCTGAGACCTTGTATTCTTTGGGTAAATTCCTAGGAGTAGAATTCCTGGGTCAAATGGTATTTCTATTTTTAGTTTTTAGAGGAGCCTCTGTATTGCTTTCCACATGATTCAACTAGCTTACATTCCCCTTAGCAATGCAGTAGGGTTCGCCTTTCTCCACAGCCTCACCCACATTTGTTCCTTGTCTTGGATGTTGGCCATCCTAATTGATGTGAGATGATATTGCATTGTGTTTTTAATTTGCATTTCCCTGATAATTAGCAATGTAGAGCACCTTTTCATGTGCCTGTTGGCCATCTGAATTTCCTTTTTGGAGAAGTGTCTGTTCATATCCTCCGCCCATTTTTTTAAATGCATTATTTGCTTCATGGATGTTGAGGTATGTGAGTTCTTTATATATTTTGGATGCTAACCCCTTGTCAGATATATCGTTTATGAATATATCCTCCCATACTGTATGTAGGGTGCCTTTTTGTTCTACTTATGGTGTCCTTGGCTGTACAGAAGCTTTTTAGTTTGATGTTGTCCCATTTCTTCATTTTTGGTATTGTTCTCCTTGCCCAAGGAGAAGTGTTCAGGAAAAAGTTGCTCACGTTTATATTCAAGAGATTTTTGCCTATGTTTTCCTCTAAGAGTTTTATGTTTTCATGACTTACATTCAGCTCTTTGATCCATTCCAAGTTTATTTTTCTGTATGGAGTTAGACAGTAATCCAGTTTCATTCTCTTACATGTAGCTGTCCAGTTTTGCCAACACCAGCTGTTGAAGAGGCTGTCATTTCCCCATTGTATATCCATGGCTCCTTTATTGTATATTAATTGACCATATATGCTTGAGTTTATATCTGGGCTCTCTATTCTGTTCCATTGGTCTATGGGTCTGTTCTTGTGCCAGTACCAAATTGTCTTGATTATTGTGGCTTTGTAGTAGAGCTTGAAGTTGGGGAGGATAATCCCCCAAGCTTTATTCTTCCTTCTCAGGATTGCTTTGGCTATTTGGGGTCTTTTGTGGTCCCATATGAATTTTAGAATTATTTGCTCTAGTTTGTTGAAGAATGCTATTGGTATTTTGATCGGGATTGCACAAATCTGTAGATTGCTTTAGGCAGGATGGCTATTTTGACAGTATTCTTACTACGCATGAACACAGGATGGATTTCCATTATTTTTGTCTTATCTCATTTCTCTCGAGTGTCTTGTAGTTTTCACAATAGGTCTTTCACCCCTGGTTAGGTTAATTCCTAGGTACTTTATTTTTTTTATGCAGTTTTTAATGGAATAGTTTTCTTGATTTCTTTCTGCTAGTTCATTGTTAGTATAGGAATGCAACAGATTTCTGTGTATTGATTTTGCATTTTGCAACTTTGCTGTATTCAGCTGTTAGTTCTTGTAGTTTTAGAGTGGATTCTTTAGGTTTTTCTATGTACAGTATGTCATCTGCAAATAGTGACAGTTTGACTTCTTTACCAATCTGGATTCCTTGTATTTCTTTATTTTGTCTGATTGCCGTGGCTAGGACCTCCAGTACTATGTTGAATAACAGTGGGGAGAGTGGGCATCCCTGTCTTGTTCCCGATCTTAGAGGAAAAGCTTTCAGCTTCTCGCTGTTCAG